TAACCAGTTTTACAATGCTGGGTTCTTGGCCATCTACATACAGAATCATTTCACCATTGTCCTCGCACTTCACTAAACAAACAGTAAAGGTGGCGACAATATAGGACTTGTGTGGAGGAGATTTTACACGAGCAAGCGATGTCAGTTAAAAGTATGTAGCCATCATCCATTGTACTACTGCATCCTGTTCACTAGGTCATCCCTGTTTTGTCTCCTTACTTTTTATGACATCCCTATATTCCACACTTTTTTAATTCGAAGAATTTTTTTATTTACTTGTCTCCTTTTCTTTGCATTCACATGCATGGTCTATTGTTACATGGAGTGGATATAAAAAGGGGATATTTTTGGGCATAAGCCCATAACAAAAGTAACATTAGTGGCCTTAAGCTATCGCCTCTGACGTTTTGCGTCATTCACATTACATCAGTGCACCAAGTTTCATTGTGAGAGGACCCATCATAAGCAAGTTATAGGCACTGACACCATTTAAAAGTCTTTTTTGCCTGGGGCTGTTTGTTGTTGTTTACAACCTTGTATTTTCTGTTTCGGTGAACGCTTATCATGGTACATCAGTGTACCAAGTTTCATTGTTAGAGGACCAACCACAAGGAATTTATAGGCACAAACACCATTTACAAGTTTTTATTGCCTGGGGCTGTTTGTTGTTGTTTATAAACTTGTAGTTTCTGTTTCGATGAACTCTCATCATGGTACATCAGTGTACCAAGTTCCATTGTTAGAGGACCAACCATAAGCAATTTATAGGCACAAACACATTTTACAAGTTTTGATTGCCTGAGGCTGTTTGTTGTTGTTTACAAACTTGTAATGTTTACATTTTGTTATATACTAATGATGGGTTATATGTGTACGAAGTTTTATCACTCCTTTACCTAGTTAGCACAGTTTATTTGTCTCTATCGTAATGTATTGCCTGGGGCTATTTTTTTTTCTTTTTTGTTGTTTACAAGAAAAAAAATTTCCCTTGCACGACCTGTCATGGATTCCAATATCTGTGCAAAGTTTCATGTGGAAACTGAACAACAAGAAAAAGAATAATTGAATAAATCAAGTACCGATTATGCGATTTAAGCCATTTCTTGGATACATGCTCTTTGTGACCATACGGATCAGTAAAAAGTTGGACATTATTGAAACTGAAAGGGAAAATGAAAATCTCAAATGTATGGGCATAATGCAGGATGACCTGTCATCCCTATAATTATTATACTAAGTACTACCGTACTTAGTGATAGGGGATGTATGGAGCTATGACAGGGAATTTTGTTCCTCATCTTCTTCTTCCTCCTCCTCCTGTTTAACCAGCATAACTAAAAAACCGAAAGAGATGAAAAGCACTAAAGTGCAAACCCTTGGCGAACTGCGCATGCGCGGTACTGCTAATGGTGGGCTGGCGTTTAGCTAGTATGTAGCTCGCAGAGAGTCTGACATGGGCTAGCCATGGTAGTAGATAGCATGTGGGAGTCGATACACGCCCTTCGCTGTGGCTTCTTGTGCCTCCAAGGTACACAGAGCAAGTGATTGTGTACAATATGTTTACTGAGTTTTGTCCAGATATCATCACGTTGGAATATCGTTAAATGAACAGTATTAGCTAAGGACCCAAACTTCAAATCGTTATTATGAAGAGTATTAAGGACCCAAACACAGATAATACGCTCGAGATCATTTCTGTTGGTACACTCACCATGTTGGACTGTTTACTACGATGGTTGTCAATAGATTAAGGACCCAGAGCCATATTTCATTAATCAATCAACCTTAATGTTCTAAACTCTTTGTCTAACCCTACCTATATGTGTACAATATGTTTACTGAGTTTTGTCCAGATATCATCACGTTAAAGTAGGTTGGAATAATTATCGTTAAATGAAGAGTATTAGCTAAGGACCCAAACTTCAAATCGTTATATAAAGAATATTAAGGACCCAAACTTGATCAGACACAGATAATACGCTCAAGATCATTTCTGTTGGTACGCTCACCATGTTCGACTGTTTTTATCCTCGTACTACGATGGTTGTCAATAGATTAATGACCCACAGCCATATTTCATTAATCATTCAACTTTAATATTCCTAACTCTCTCTCCAACCCTACTTGTGTACATTATCGTTACTGAGATTTGTCCAGATATCATCACGTTAAAGTAGGTTGGGATATCGTTCAATGAAATGTATCAGCTAAGGACCCAAAATTGATCAGACACAGATAATACGCTCAAGATCATTTCTGTTTGTATACTCACCCTGTTCAACTGTGTTTATCCTCGTACTGCGATGGTGGTCAATAGATTACAGACCCACAGCCATATTTCCTTAATCAAACCTTAATGTTCCAAACTCTCTCTCCAACCCTATTTGTGTACATTATGGTTACTGAGATTTGTCCAGATATCTTACAACTGTATTAATGTGCTTTCTAGTCTCTTTACTTTCCCAACAGTAATGAAGTGTTGTGGATATCTTCGCACTAAAGTAATGCATGATCGTTAATTGGATTATTATCGATTCCTATGACATTAATGATCCACAGCCATATGTAATGGATATTAGTTGATAAAACGATTCAAAGATAATGGAGAGTGAAAGAGAGGTATATCACACGCTCGCGCGACGGTAGTCGGCAACGAGTTTCGTGGGTCCTTAGGTCGCGTCCTAGTGAGTTTTTGCTTTAGTATAACAAGTAAATAAAAAATCATGCGAATTTAAAAAAAGAGGCATAGGGTGGGTATAAAAAGAAAGGGAGACAAGATAGGGATGGGATACATGAAGCATGGTTATATTTGAGCACACTGACACCCCCAACCCCATCACACAATCCCTATATTGTTGCCTGGTGTGCCACTCCATTTGTACTCTTGGTTACTCAGTAGCATGACTTTTTCGTATTTTAAAGCTAGACTATTGTGTAATGTTGAATGTTTAATACTTCAGTAGGCAACAATATAAGTATGGTTAATGAACAGATTTGAGCACGCTGACAACCCCAAACCCCATCACACAATCCCTATTTTGTTGCCTAGGTGAAGTTTTAAACATTCACCATTACAATACTCACAACTTATAATACAAAAAAAGTCATGTTACTGAGTAACCAACATCTTTATAGAGTCCAAGTGCAGTTTCATTAAAGGGACTGTGGCAGTATAAAAGTAGAAATGTACTAAAACAATGGGGGACGGTGAAAGAATGCTTGCTTTAGCCCTCATATAATGCTACATTCCCTATAAGAGTAGCACACCAGGCAACAATATGGGGATTGTGTGTGATGGGGTTGGGGGTGTCAGCGTGCTCAAATCTGTTCATTAACCATGCTTCATGTATCCCATCCCTATCTTGTCTCCCTTTCTTTTATACCATCCCTATATGCCTCTTTTTTTAAATTCGCAGGATTTTTAATTTACTGCATACTGTGCATTTAGCTTGGCTCTAGGGCTCACGCTGTGAGTGTGACAGAGTTTTTAGTATTCTTCACTATAACTTGCCAAGCAGTAGGGGATCGCTGGGGATAATAGGAGTTTCCTTATCTTTCTTACATATTACATCGAGTCAGTTGCAAATCCTCTCTGAATCCCGCTTGGTTTTGCTACAGCACGCTCTTTTATATCTTCCCATACTCTTATTATTATATTCCCATCTTTTCGGATAAACAGGTGTATACAGTCAGTGCACACCTGAGTAATCCACATTGGTATACACATGCAAGCCAGCTGGGGCCCGTACAGCTGAAGGTAAACAAACCTGGATGGAGTGCTCACAGACCTCTACATTTCGCTAAAAACCTACTTCTTATGAAATAATACAGGCCCTGCACAAATGCCAGCAGTGTACACACCGAAGCAAAGGTGTGTTTTAGCGGTAGCAGGCAGTTGCTAGGCAGCTTGTTTTAGCAATGGTTTACCATGTCATGGCAAGTAACAAAACTCGGAGAAGACCCATAAAAACACCACCAATGAAAAAAAACCCATACCCAAATAAAAAGACCAGGCGATACTCAAAATAATAGACTATACCAACCAAAAAAAAGACAAACGAAAGACCAGTAACGGATACTCCACTTGAGCAAAGGTAATGAGGTGTCTCCTGGTGAGGACAAGGTGCATTTTGTAAATCGTTGCAAAAATTCACCTCTTAATAATGTGTCCATGTCAGGGGAAACATATATACGTACCTTCCTTAAGCTCAACATTAGCTTCACTCTCAACATTAGATACTACACACCTTTCTACACAGGCCAACTGAGCTTCTACAACTTGGGCCTAAGAGTTCAGCAGCAATGCCAATGCCACACCCACTGAATAGCTCAGTGTGCTTGGTCAGTGCACCCATTGTTGGATGGCACAAGTTACTTCATTGCTGCAATGTGACTTGGAATAACTAAATTATTTTCTGGAACAGAGACTTGATCCTGCCTACACTGTATAGCCTATTACATATGATTTGAGGCCACATACACTGGTACATAAACCTCACTGGGGGCCTTTCCTGCTTGGATACACTGTATAGCCTATCACATGATTTTAGGCTACGTAAACTAGTACATAAACCTCACTGGGAGGCATTTCCTGCCATGGATACACTGTATAGCCTATCACACGGTTTTGGGCCTCAACTCATACTAAACTTCACTGGCTCTGCTACTGGAGTTCTCTCTGTCTTGCATGGCTTCCATTGTCAAAGTATCTATCAGCTTCGGAACAGATGTGTCCCGTCCATATTGAGTAAAACTTACAGATGCCTTAAGTGTAACAAGGAATAGAGGCAGGTAAAACACCCCACATATTTTACTAACTCAACATTTGGTTTAAGGTTAGGTTAGGTTTATCAACAGTGTGGGAGTTTAAAAGTGAAAACTACCACTATTGCTTCCATAAGCAGGAGTTGTTGCAAGTGAAATCGGCCTGCAACAATAGTTTAGTCGGGCATGAATTTACTCCATCTTTCACACAGCATGGACATTTGGTAGCTGTGATAGAATTATAATTATTTTTAACAAGCCATTACAAAGTTGAGCCATCGTATACAAAGCAGGCATTATTTATGCAAGTGGAAATTGCACAGCTAAGAGTCCACCAGCAATTAGTAAAGTACAATACTACGGTCTTTGCCTTTTTCTTGACAGTGTCCACATTATTGATAATTTCAGCAGTATTCTCCATCCAACGTCTACTTGTGGCAACTATGAAGCCGTAAGTGGAGACAATGGTTGTATCTATTAAATATAAAAGTGAATATCATTAACCCCTGGCGCGCAATTTGTGTGTGTTTGTGTGGGGGAAGATAAGAAAGAGAGAGTGGTAAGGATTGAGATGGCTTTTGCCTGTGGCCACATGCATTGGCGTTTTGAATGACTGTACCACTGCCCATCCCCAAGCCAAACAACCAGCAAACCAAGTCTTTCTGTCTTGCTTCAATTCTCTGTCATTACCTAATGGACTAGTCATCAGGGGAGCTCCTCAGCAGATCATTGTGTAGGTCACAGGTTTCGGTCCTTTTTATCTCCCGCACTGTGCCTCACTACCACTAAGGCGGGACCACTCCCGTGTAGCGGAGTCTTGTATGTAGGCACTGTCAGTTTTAGTCTTCCAAAGCCATCAGTTTGTTGTGCTATAGTTCAGTTTTTCTAAGTCCTATATACGTACTTTAGGTTGTGACACGTGGTTATTTACTTCTACTATAGGGATGGAAAAGGGATTTTTACTCTTAATGTGTGTGTGTGTTATTCAGACACTGCATGAAGTGGCCTACTAGGTAAACAAAAAACGATTTTCTAGAAATGAGTATGCTTGGCACTGGCGTACCTAAACCACGCTTAGCTGATTCACCACACTACGGGGGGTTGAAATTACTCGGAGGATGTGTGTATAGGGTTTAATAGTCATTATATAAAGTTAACAGGCAAGCGAACTCGCCAGTACATACAAATATAGGGGTGGAAGCCAGGGTGGCAGCGAGCCCTGGCCAGGCGGCGTGGTGCGGCGAGGGTTAAGGGAAGGGGGCATGGTGGGCACCTAGGTCTCTCATACCCCTGTCAATTTCCTGTCCAGGTGCCCGCCAACTCTGGGCAACAGGCCTTAGTCCGTAGCATAATTGAGAGGAGTGGAGAGCGCTGTTTTATAGTTATGAAAATGAGTGGCTCCAGGGAATGACCTGTTAGTAAGCTTCGACGTAGTGAGCCTATTCACACAAGTGCAGATTGAGGAAGCGCTAGAAGTGGTAGTACGGAGGCTTCAGGATGATGAGACCCTCATTGAGAGGACCCCCATATCAGCTGAGGATATCCATACACTGGCAGCAATCTGCCTCAACACAACATACTTCCAGTATCGGGACGATTTTTATGAGCACATTGAAGGGCCAGGACATTCTCTGATGTTTTTATATATAAAGTGAACTCAATAGCTCTAGGCTATAACATGGTGTACACTACCTAAATTTAACTACGATTCAGATATAACCAATCAATTAATGATATATTGAATGAGGAAATTGAGTCAGCTGAGTGTATAGATAATGGCAGAGAATTCCATGTACTGCACGAACTGGGAACAAATGAATTCAGAAAGGCATTTGTATGAGAAAAAGGCTGAAGAAATAAATAGTCAGAAGCAGAACGAAATGGAGTAACCGTGGAATAAAAACGTCAGGAGGGAAATCATCATATGGTTTACCCTAGGCCTTTCAGAGAGGATTGAGAAAGAATGGAGAACCTTGGAGAATAGCAAGTTGAAGCTGGCCTTTCGACTGATCATAACAATTAGGTAGACACTGGTACGAGTCAAGAGCAAGATCCCCCAGAACAAATCAACCCGATGAACTTGTACTGTTGGCTGAGTTTGAGCAAACTGTGGCTACCAGCCCTGGTGCTCTGTTGAACAATGTTTACACACAAACGCGCATGCGTTTTCTCATGCGTTTTCTCACCACTCATTATTATAACTATAAAACAGTACTCTCCACTTCTCTCAGTTATGCAGCTGACGAAGGCTTTCGAGTCGAAACGTCCTGTCTTGACATCTTTTGTTGGCTATGTATAGTCGCTCAATAGAGAATTCTCATTACCCTTTATCCCTTGGCTGACGTCCATTTCCACGGCCAACGACCAAAGGTGACCCTTGCAAAGGTCTTGCCAACTCTCTCCATGAGAGTAGTTCAGAAGATATGTAACCTGAAGTTTGTGCCAGCCCCACCCCTCCCTACGCCTAGGCGAACAGGGTGTGACCCCCAAATCTCCCCACGACATTCTAGTCAGGGCTTTGAGTCAATTCCAGGCCCTGCAGCAGCACAAGTAGCAGCGCAGGGTAACAGACGTCACAACATGGATCAAATGCTTCTCTCTGTATATTATCTTAAGAAGCTTTCGAATCCACATGGTAAGAGTGTGAACAACGGGATTGAGGAGAACCTCTGCTCCCTGGAGTACCTGCGGCCAACCACAGAGAGACCATGCTGGCAAAGCGTACCGGATGGTCCCTGTGCACGACCGCTCTTCGCGGGGGTCAATTCCAGGCTACCATTCAGCCTATGGTTAGCCCAAAAAATTTTCCCCACAGTCACAGACGTATTGCAGTGGGTACTGGAAGAACAGGAATCTGATAGGTTGCTCACTACTGTAATAATTACATAACCATGGGTCGGCCAGGCTCAGACATCTGTAGTTGCAATCTGGATACCATGCTGCCCACATGTGCAAGACTGCGGTCCCAATGGCCCCAGGAAAGTGTGTAGGGCCAGCCTCCTTCCTTGGCTTTGAACTGGACACAGAAGCCTTAGTGGTCAGACTACCTCCTCCCAAACTGGCGCAGTTGCAGAGGCTGGTTCAAGGATGGCTACACAAGAGAGCTTGCAAGAAGTAGTATCTAGAAAGTCTGCCAGGGCACCTCCAGCATGCAGCAACTGTCATTCGCCCAGGACAGACATTCGTGTGGTGGCTCATTGAACAGTCCAGAACAGAGACCAGTGGATCAGGATTAACCCGGTAGTTTCGTCAGATTTGAGAGTACTGGAACTCCTTCATGGCAGACTGGAATGGAGTTGCGTTGATACCCAGATTTGAGAGCCAATAAGCTCTATTTGTGTCAGACGCATCAGGTTTTTGAGGGTGTGGAGCTTACTGGACTGGTGTAGAGGTGGGAGGGTCAGGTGGCAGACTGGTCAATTGCATTTACTCCCGATCAGCATTGGCTTGCAGTGTGGGCAAGATTTGGGCCGGCTCCAGGATCGAATGCCAATGCGACAACACAGCACTGGTGGTGGTGGTGAACTCTGGCACATTGATGAACCTCCTGAGGTGCATGTTCTTTATGGCTTCACACTGTAGTGTCCAGGTCCACGCCACACACATACCAGGCAACGCTGCGGATGCCCTCTCACCTCGTCTTTTTTGCAGGCTTTCCCGGAAGACCCCACACCAGTTTCTCAAGCTATTCTGGACATGGCAGTCAAGGAACAGCCATACTGGACCTAGTTGTGGTGGGCACGACTCCTCAGTGCTTTCTGAAGGTGGGACTAGCCCTGTAAACCCTGCGCGCATACCGGTCTTCCAAGAACAAATATCTTGCCTACTGCCAAAGTGCAGGAACAGCATCCCTACCCACTTCGGAGGTTAAGCTAATGAACCTCGTGGCAGCAATGGTCGACCTGGGTCTGAAGAATCAAAAATCAAGATATACCTGTTGGAAGTGCAGCACCTGCAGATCAAGTGTGGAGGGGGACACCAAAACATGCCTCTCTTGGAGCTAGCTTTGAGGGGGGTAAAAGAGAACAGGCAGGTGTCCCTACAAGGCCCAGGCTACTGATACCAGCAGTGCTTGACAAGCTGCAGTGAATTTGGAGTGGAAGCCAAACCTGTGTGTCACTGGGGATAGAACGGTCAAAGACTGATCCATTCAGGCGGGGTGTATCTATCCACCTACACCAAACAAACTTACCCCTGTGCCCGGTGGGCACTCTACTCTGCTTGTGTACCTGGTGTTTAGAGGTATATACACAGGACGGCCCACTGTTTCAGTTGAAAGATGGGTCCCCTCTGACTCCGTCACGGCTGGTGCATGAGTTGCCGCAGCAAATATTGACCCATCGAAATACACGAGTCACAGTTTCCGGATAGGTGCCGTGACTATCGCGGCTGCCTGCGGGGTCCCATTAAAGACCTTGGGCAGTGTAAAAATCAAGTCTCTCAACGCACACTTCTCTAATTTGGAGGTGGGGGTAAGGTGTGGTGGTTGCAAAGCACAATGCTCCACCCTCGCTAAGCCAACCCCGTCATGCCACCGCTCAGGTGATGGAGAACGCTTAAGCCAGGTAGCCCCTACTTGCCCTGTTTTTTTTGGCAGGGTGGTAGCTTGATAACGCTGCTCACTCCGCTTGAGACTGCTACCAGGGGACCACGCGGTGGGACCGCTTTGTGCGCATGCGCCAACACTGTGCCCCCACCTTGCTTGCCCGTTAACCTGGTTTTAATGACCATATCAATTACTACGCTTGTCTTGCGCCCTCCTCCCATCTTCAATTCGGCATGCCTTTCGACCTTACAGGTGGGTATTTGGGTTGGCTCAACAAGAGTTAAGGGGGAGGGGGCACCCCATTAGCACGCATGCTTAAGGCATGCCTCATTGCAGGAGGGGAAATCAGAGGAGGGGTTGGCAACGCGCATAGTAAGTTAACCAGCCCAGTGTTGCTCTAAATGCTACCCACTGAGGCAGCTAGAGCGAGAAACTGGCTCCATTGACAGGTTAAACTGTGTGACTTGACCCGGCCCATGTGCACATCATCAAAAGAAACATGCGTGTGTTCCTTGTAGTGAGGGTTTACATTCTATCAATTAATAAAGCCACTTACTTGTTAACTACTTCAGCAATCAGCACATGGTCTTTCACTTGAGCTACAAACTCTCTGAAAAGTAAATAAAGAGATACCTGTATGGCTATGGCACAAGAGAGCAAAATCTAACCTCGCATTTTAGTAGTACAAGTTGTTGCACAAGACAATCATTACTTTACAAACGTGAACTGTGTTCCTATATAATACACATTGTGTGAAGAAGAGTCTCAGAGATAGTACGAAGTGTCAGATCTGAGCATTGCGAAAGGGTGAGAGAGGCGGAACAGGGTTGCATTCAGAGGAGGGGATCCCTTAGGAATACCACAACCAAGCACCCTTGGCGAAATAGAAACGTAGCAGGCTCTCCACTATTCTCTTGCAACGTATGACCTTCAACCCCACTAAGAAACGAGGCTACTTGAAAACGTGTGTGTGAAAATGTTATACAGTACCCAGTGCAACAATCATACTCATGTGAGGGTCTATAGAACGTTTTAGATGTTGTCGTTTCATGAATGGTTTGTAATATGTAGGTAGATAGCATTCGATATTGGCTATCTGATGCTTCCACAGTGCACAACACAGGTAGAGAGGTATGTTAGTGTTATTGTATTGGCTTTTTCACTTCCGTTTTATGCAATAACCCTTGAATGCAGTACTTCAACAAAATCATCAGGAAATGTAAAACAGTATCACTGCTTTGTTGGGCACTGTGGCAGAAAACATTGGAACAGACAGGGCCGTAGTTCCCCTCTACCCCAGAGAAGAATCCCGTATGCAACCCTGTGAATGGAGGAGGCTTAAAGGGAGCTATGTTTAATGGGCCTGACCGACAGCTCGCCGAGCAACAGCCTCTGCAGGCGATATACACCAATGACCTACGCCATTCCTAGAGAGTGCACACTCTTACACTGCACAATGTAGCGTACAGACAGGAGAAGGCCGAACGACGGCTGGCTCGAGCGGCAGGAGACGGTTGCTATGCATGTTGCTTCTCTTAGAAACCAACTTACCAATGTCGAGAATCGACGTAAACTCGCAGAAGACCCTGAAAACGCCACGACAGAGCTACCAGCTCGAATGAAAAAGCTTAATTTTGAGTGGAGACAAGTAATTTAAAATATCTTGTGAATTGAAAAAAAGAGGCATATAGGGATGGTATAAAAAGAAAGGGAGACAAGATAGGGATGGGATACCACACGAAGCATGGTCAATGAACAGATTTGAGCACGCTGACACACCGACCACATCACACAATACCTATATTGTTGCCTGGGTGAAGCCTTCACTATTGCAATAATTGTGTCAGGACTTAAAGCTTGACAACATGAAAAAGTGAGTAACCAACATCGTTACCATAACAATGTGTAACCTGAAAAGTCATGCTCCTGAGTAACCAAGAGTACAAATGGAGTTTATGAGTGGCACACCAGACAAAAATATAGGGATTGTGTGATGGGATCGTGGGTGTCAGCATGCTCTCATATGTTCATGTATCCCATCCCTATCTTGTCTCCCTTTCCATCCTTTTTTTCTTTTAAAAATGATTTTTAATTTACTTGTTTTATCTCCCTTTCACTTCTTTTTCTTGTAGTAGTATATGTAAATGAGTGGAGACGAGTAAATTAAATAATAATAATACTCAGGTGGCTGCCATAGCACTAGGGCCATAGACCACGCACTCAGAGCAATGGGCGGAACCGTTAATAAACGAACATACACCATATGAACATGCGGTGTCTGTCTCACCTCCCAGACACCTCAACTCACCCCTTCCACCAGCGACACCCTGCAGCTCCCCAGACGCAATCTGAGACTGGGTCTGTTGTACGCTGGGATTATCGCCGTATAACCTAACCTTTCTTAGCTCCCAAACATCCGAAATAAAACCTTTAACAAGGCGAAGCAAAGAACCAAATTTATCCTCCCACAGCTCACTACCCAATATAAAGGATGCTTTCCTGAAACTATCAAGCGACTGGAAATGCTCAAACCCATCATCCCCAAGCTTCTCCTGCAGGGCAACTAAGAAATTGCTCCTAAGACTACTATATGCTGACACTCCCACAACACATGACTCACACTTTCACACTCATCACTCACACAACAGCACTCCTTCATTTCCCCTCCCCTCCCCTATGCCCTACCGAGTTCATCATAAGCCCATGGCGTGCCTGACCTAAACTTAAACATTAATCTAGGACCAGCCATCATTTTTTCCCATGCAAGTACTTTTTGAACTCTAACCACCTTGTTAATGTCTTATACAATAACAGCTTTACTTTCTATTTAGCCCCTCTTCAAACTCTCTAATCTCCCTCTCATTAATACTGTCCCTACTATAGACAGAAAGCCCTTCAAGAGCACAATCCCATTTTGAATATCATGCAATCACTCGTTTTTTTTTTTTTTTTGTTTTTCGCCTGTCGAAAGACCTAATGACGAAAAGAGATAAAAAAGCGATCAGACTGACGCCTTACTCCACCCTTCCTCTGCCTGCTCTCCGTGGCTTAAAAGTCCATGTCCTGCTGTAAAATATTCAAAGCTCTTCGGCCTGAAGAAGGATACCTATTTGCCTGGCACATGCCGATCTAAAGTATACCACCAGCTTTTCAACTTAGATGCTTCAGCCCTCCACCCTTGCTAACGTATCATCAAGCCCCGCTAGTCCCCCCTAATGCTTCATACATATCTTAGACGAGCACCCAAGAATATCGCTTAGCCATTAAACGGACTCTAAGCAGCGGACTAGTCTTATTGGATTCCCACACCTCACACCCCACACTCCTAAAGATGGCCTAACCCCCACCGACCAGCAGACAGAAAAACTGTGAGCACTCAAATTAATATCACTATTACTAATTAGCACTATGCAGTGATAACCTTCCACTACTGCTAACACATTATTCGATAATGCACATCCCATGCACCAGTATTAGTTAAAATCCAACACACCCCAGAGTGTGTGGCTATTTAGATACTCAGGGAGGCAAAACATAATCCCCCCATTCCAAGCACCA